TTAAACTGTGACCTATAAATTCTTTGAATTGTGACTGTAAAATAATTTGTGACATTAAATTTCTGATTTGTGACCAAAAAATAATAAGTGAAGAATTAAATCGTTAATTTGTGACCAAATTATATAAATCCGTGACTTAAATTAATTGGTGACTAAAAATAATAAATAATACATGACCTAAAAATTGTGTTTGTGACTTATAATTTATTAAGTTGTGACCGAAAAATTAATTTGTGACTTATAAAATTTTTGATTCGTGATCGAAAAATAATATGTGACCTATAAAATTTGTATTTGTGACTTATAAATTATTGAGTTGTGATCGAAAAATTAATCTATGACCTATAAAATTTTTGATTCGTGATCGAAAAATAATATGTGACCTATAAAATTTGTGTTTGTGACTTATAATTTATTGAATTGTGACCGAAAAATTACCCTGTGACCTATAAAATTTTTGATTCGTGATCGAAAAATAATATGTGACCTATAAAATTTTTAATTTGTGATCGAAAAATAAGTTGTGACCAATAATATGATAAGTCGTGACTAAAAATTAATCCGTGACTAATTATTTTTAGATTTGTGACCAATAAACAAATTGTGACTCACAAAATTTTTGAATTGTGATCGTAAAAAAATTTGTGACATAAAATTTTTGATTTGTGACCAAAAAATAATAAGTAACTAATTATATTATTAATTTGTGACCAAATTGTAAAGATCCGTAACCTAAATATATTTAATTAATAAAATAATTAATTAACTAATTAAATTATAAATAATTTTTAATAAAAATCTGATTTTAGAAATTTGAAACTTGTTTTCTTGTTTTTGAAATGTACTATAATTAATTTCTTAATTATGAAATTTTCCCTTAAAAAAATGATTTGGGCCTTTTAATATAATAAGTGAGCCCATCAAGATGGTTTAAATATTTTTTAAAATAAATAAATAATTAAAATCTTGTTGAGGCTAAGATTTTCAATGAAAAAATAAATAAAATCTTTATTTTTCTAATTTTCTCAATTTCAGATCGGATATCCGATAACATAGTTAATCAGATATGAATTTAGCATTCAAATATCCATCGGATTGGATTGGATCGGATCGGATCAGATAGGATAATTATTCTTAACGGATTAGATTGAATCGAATCGGATCGGATTTGAGCATATTCGATCCATTTACAGCCTTAACTTCAATCTGAAGATTCCACAATTGCTCTGGGTCGATTTCACAGAAGAGGTTGACAACGTACAGTCGATGGATGTTCTTTTCTTTGCCTCGATCGTGTACGGAGAATTAATGTGTTATGACAACAATCTAGTCCTCTTGCTGACAATTTGCTCTGACACGTCAATAACATGTTTCTTACAAGGTGTCACTTCCATTGCCTTCTTCGACATAATTGTCATGTCATCCAAACTCGCGATATTATTTGTCAAGTTGGGGTTCCTCTCCGACATAGTTATGTATACTATTTATTTAATATTTAATTACTTTGTTTAATTATTTATTTATTCACTTAATCAAATAAAAAAATAATATTTAATTTAATTTCTTGTTTAGATATTTCATTTATAAATTATATTAATTGGTTGTGTATATTATGTATTTAATATTGCATTACCTTATATAAATAAATTTTATAATATATACAATTATTTCATAAATAAAAAATATATATACAATTATTTCATCCCCTTCACTGGCACTTCTCCCATCCCCATTAACATGCGTCACGATTCTAATGAAACATCTGTGAACATCCCCACCCCTCCACCATCACCTTTCCTATCATCATCTCCGCCACCCTCTCTATCACAGTCTGAGACCCACATCCCCTGTATCTCCTCGGATATGACTATGACCCTTCTCTTCGATCAATGTTGTCAACTAAGCAAGCACTTCTAACTGACTTATTAACATTTCACCAAGTTAATGATCATGTATCGAGATTCCGAAATGATGTACAACATAAAATCACAAATGAATAATATGTACCTCAAGATCGTCAATGAGAGCTGATAACTGTCAGCTCTGTCAGTTATCAGCTCTGTCCTCATAGATAGTTGTTGAATATTTCAATGTCATCAACAGCCTCCAAATGAAAGACGTCGATCGACGTCTTTTTGTGATGACACCTCAGTACGCACTTCAGTACAAACACCATCCCAACTTCAACTTGTCAAACATATCGTCACATTCCCTGAATGTGTCTTCTAACTGTGTTAGAGTTACCGTCGTAAACATAATCGACGTAATAGGTCCATGTGCTTCTCATCCAACAAATCTAGGACTAATATTAAGCTTGCTTAAGTTGTAGTTTGAAGTAACTTTGTTGGGAATCCATCTGAAGGCGGCGTCCAAATGGTAATCCATTCTGTAAAATTTAAAATTATTGGACCTTGTGTAATAGACAATGGAAAAAGCATAATGTTTGAAAATTAAATTGTTTATTTACTTATTTAAATTGTTTATCAAATATTTAATTGTTAATTATTTATTTAAATTGTTCGTTTAAATTATATATTCCATATTTAAATGTGTATTTAAATTATTTATTTTAATTTTTTAGTTGTTTATTTAATATTTATTTTAATTGTTAATTGAATGTTTAATTGTTTATTTTAAATGTTAATTATTTATTTCAATTGTTTATTTAATACTTAATTACTTATTTTTATTATTTATATTTATGATTCATTTAAATTATTTATTTAATATTTAAATGCTAATTATTTATTTCTATTGTTTGTTTGAATTGTTTATTTAATATTATTTAATTACTTATTTAAACTATTTTTATTATTTATAGTTATTTTTTATTTATGTTAATTAATTATTTTTATTGCTTAATTAATATTTAATTTACTTCTTTATTGAATTTATTTCAATTAGTTATTTATTATTTACTTAAATAAACAATATACATAAATAATTAAATAAACAATTAAATTAAATATTGATTTATTAAATTATTTATTTAATATTTAATTTAATTAATTATTTAAACATTTCATTAATTATTTTAATTGGTTATGTATATTATTTGTTTAATATTTTATTAGTCTATTTAATTACTTATTTTAATTGTTTATTTCGTATTCATTTACTTCATTTAATTATTTATATTAATTTCTTATTTATTTTAATTGTTTATTGAATATTCAACGTTTATTATATTTATTTCATTATTTAAATGATTTATATTTTAAATAAAATGAAACAAAAAACAATTAATTATTTTAATTAAATAAACAATTTACGTAATTCATGAAATATTTATAAACAATTAAATTCAATATTAAAAAAATGGACGGCAAGCTGGGCCATTTCCAGACAGCTCAGGGCCATCTGGATCTAGACAACTGGGCCTTCTAAATCTAGATGGTGAAGTCATTGCCGACTGGGTCCCCTGAAAACTTTATTTTCGACGAGCTCCACCCCATTTTTTCACTTTTCATAATCAATTCAACCTTAAATTCAACTTTTCCTTCTATTTTAACTATAAAAACTTGTATTAAAATCATAATTTAACGTATTCAAATTTTAAACATTCAAATTCTCACATGTGTCAGACCTGAATGGTGAGTAAATAACAAAGAAACAAATACAATCTTTGAAAAATGACGATCTCCGACAATGGTCGAAGTGGGTCCGGTCTAAGCAATCCGTAGTGGCATCGGTGATGAGATTTTCTTTCGCCTCTTAATTTTCTTTTTCTTTTCTTTCCTCTTCTCTTCTCTTTATTTGGAGGTATTTTCAACCCTTTTATTGTTTACATTTTCAGTTTATTTATTTATTTTTTAATGAGAGTTTTTGGGTCAAAGGCCATTGTGGAAACATAAACCGGTCATCTTCCACTATTTCCTCGCACCCAAAAATGGTGCAATTTGATACAATGATGTTAGTATTGGAGTTTCCCTCAATATCGCATAAACTGACGTAACAACAACGGTGTACTAGGTCGACGCGTCACGTCTTTCAGACAAAGCTATGGGCGCCAGTTGATGTTTTCAAAACGATACAATGTTTTAAACAAAAACCAAGGGGCGCTCCATGTTTCCAAGTTGCATGCACCAACTTGCCCAACGCGCACTTTTTTATCCTTTTCCCACTTTTGGCCTTTGATTATTCCAAATTGCGCTAGAAAAATTTGAAGAATAAAATAAAAATCAATGTTGTTAACTATATTTATTCGAATACGTAGACAAAGACCATTCCCGTTGAAATATTTGCGATAAAAAACTAGAAAAAGAAATAGTATTTCGCAAACAAATTAAATTGAATTTCGAAATAATTTTCTATTCTAAAGTTGTATTTGTATTAAATAATCGGTTCTTTTGAGCATATTTCGAAGAACGATTAGATATAATCAACAACGTTAAAAAAATAAAAAGTGAAAACTTTATTTACTATAAAATTGAATCATATTGCATATTACTTAACAAATATTGATGAAGAATTCAAAACTCGAATGCAGTGAAAGCTGAACTAGGAAAATTTTTACAAATATAAAATATAATAATATTAAAAAGTTTATAGTTTCAATTGGGGCCAAGGAACCCACTAGCCCGAGGCTAACCGGCCAATAGGAGGCCATCACGTCGAACAAGGGCCTATCCAAGAAGATAAATCCTTATTTTGGATCATAATGCCCAAGGAAACCTTAGTTTAGAGAGAGAGAGAGAGAAAGTCATTTTGATGTGTTGTTAAGCCCTCATTTTCTTAAAATGAAAATGAGTAAAATAGTATTTTTTAAAAACTAAGTGATTGAAAAAGAAAAAAATTTCGATTTACGTGCAATATTATTTTATGGAAGATTGTGTAGTTAAAAATAGGAAAGAAAAAAATGGAATATAATGAAATTGAATTTAATGAGGGCTAAATTTGACATCAAATTAAAAGAGCTCGTATTTAACAAATAAACGTGTCACTAATGGCATTGCCACTTATTTTAGTAGATAATAAACTCAGAAGAATGAAAAGAAAAATAAAAAAAAACACACAAAAAATATATTTATTGCTTTTGAATGGAAATTACAAATAGTTAATAAAATGTGGATATGAAAAGACAATTAAGGTACCGAATGACTACTTAATTTACAAATTGTGCCATTGATTTGAAAGAACCCAAAGAAATCCGCCAAATTAGAGACCGCTTAGGTCACCGCCGGTGTGACATCATCAAAGCTCCAGAGATCCAATGCACCGCCTCCAAGTACTGTTTCCTGCGCTGGATTTGACCCCGCTGCCGCCGCCACGGACTGACCATCGAGATACGGAATCTGATAGAACTTCATGTAGTTCTCGTAAGCCATTAACTCTTCCGACAGCTTTTGCACTTCATTATCCTTCGCCGCTTCCTCCGCAGCCACCGCCGCCGCATCCAGAACTGTCGTTCCTATGTCAACAATACCATTCTCACTCACCGCCTCCTCCACTTTAAACAAACCCTCTCTTTCCTGATCAAAACAACATGCATTTTCCAAACCCCAACCGGACGCTGACCCGGATACTTCCTCGAGCGGGTACGTTTTAAACGAACCGTGATTATTATTATATGTCAGATTGTGATTGTGATTGTGATTGTGATTGTATGGATTGTACGCATCGTCTTCGTTTGGAAAATTGACTTTAGCTTTTTTCCCTCTGATTATGCGGGCTTCTCTATCGTACGCCCGGGCTGCTTCTTCAGCTGTGTTGAATGTACCAAGCCAAACCCGAACACCTTTTCTCGGGTCCCGGATCTCGGCTGCCCATTTGCCCCATGGCCTCTGCCGTATTCCCCTGTACAGGTTCTTCCGCTGCCGCTTTGCATTTCCACCGATTTCCGCTTGCTTATCACCTGTTTGTATAAATTCCTCAATCGGATTCTAGATATTAGTCTAGGAAAAAAGAAGCTAAATCTAGTTAAAAATTTACCTGTACAAGATTGGGATCTTTTGAGAGGCTTAGAGCCATTTTGGCTGGAGGAGCTGGAATTGTTGGGTTTGGCAAAATGAGAAATTGGCCAGAAGTCGGCGGATGTGGGCCATAGGTCGGCAGCGGAGAGTTGGCTGCTGCCCTTGCTGCGAGGGATGAATCCGGCGAGGATTGCACCACCACACATTCTCGATATTGATAATACTTTGTGATTAAGATTAACAAAATAAAAGAGAATCACAAATGAAGAGCACTTAAGATTATAGAAGAGAGCTTGAAATTTGATTTCGGACAATGATTTTTGACGAGAGAGTCGATAGCAGAGTTGCCATATATATAAGCCAGGGGACGAGAGGTCGGTGAGAGTGATTGCAAAGTTTCCTTGTAGATAATTATTCTTTTTCAATTTTTTTAATACTTATTTTTAATTATACATTTTACTAATAAAATATTATTCATTTAAATTCTTTTTCTACTTATTAACCACAAATTCTAAAAAAATTTACACAAAAATGACTGTCAAACATGGTTTGAGTTAAAATAAGATTTGGTCAATTTAAAAAATTGATAAATTCAAACAATCACTTGGTGAACTTTAATGGCGTATGCCTTTAGCTAGTTTTTTTTTGAGCCCCATTATTTGTAGATGATATTGAGATGAATGGCGTTTTTTTTGAAAAATGAGTGGTTAAAAATTTTTTGATTTATGTGTAATATTATTTTATTGAAAATTGTGTGGTTAAAAATAGAAGAGAGAAAAATTTAATTTAATATAACGAGAATTAATGTGGCTCAAACGGGGTTTAAATTTGAATATTTGTCACATGCACCTTTTAATAAGGACAGAAAATACGCATACGTGTAATCATTAAATTCATTGATGCGTAGACTCTATTGATCATGCCCTCGTTTGAGCCAAATTTAAAAAAATAAAATAAAATTGAATAGTATTTTAACTTTATTTCAACCATACATTCAAAAATAATATTTTGAATATTAATTTTTAGAACAATGTGTGTTTAAAAAGTAAAAAAAAATTGAATTTACGTGTAAAATATTTTATTGTATGAATGTATTGCTGAAAATGAATATGTAAATATATATTTTTTTTCTTTTCAAATAATGGTTGTCAAACAAAGGCTAAAAGTACAAATAATTTAGCAAATCTTAATTCCCTTTACTCTAGCTCCTATTTGGCCTCTTTTTTTGAAATGAAAATGGGTGGAATAGTATTTTTTTAAAAAATGAGTAGTTGAAAAAGAAGGAAATTTTTTTGATTTACGTGTAATATTATTTTATGAAAGACTGTATGGTTGAAAATAGAAGAGAAAAAAATAAAATGTAATTTAATAGAAGCCAAATGGGGGCTTAATCTATTTTTCATACTTATTTTCAACCACATGTTAACATAATAAAATATTCTATTGGTAAATTCAAAAATTTTCTTACTTTTTAACTATACATTCTTAAAAAAATACTATTTAAAACTATATATTTTTTTAATTTTATGACCACCAAACAGAGACGAAGAACGTGACACTAGTATTTATTTAGGTATAGTCTTCTACAAGTCCCTTCACATACATATCACATTTACTTTTTATGAAAATTTGAAATGTGAAAGATATTCATAAATCCGTAGAAACAAGGCTTGAAACAAAGTCTTTTATACAGTTCAATACTATATTGAATTATATTCATTTAAATTACGTATTCAACACATTCTTGGTTCATTTCTCATAAGGGGTTAATGTGCCAGGCTTTATAATGGTGCAACAATACTTGAACTTAGCATGTATGTCTACACTAAGAAACCATATTTAGCCTCTCTTCATCTAAAAATTCTTAAAAAATCGTTTTTAGTCAAAGTTAAATATTAATTTCAAGTTTACATTCACTATTACTATTCATTTATTGACCACACACCACAAGTATTCCGCCTAAAAAGTTATTGATAGTTTTGCTCGAACAATCTCTTAACGACCTCTCTCTAGTAAGATTTGGACTTGGCACGTCAATTTACATTAATATGATAATACCATGTTTAACAACTTCTCTCTTAAAGTTTAAGGTTTTAAATATGGGCAACTCTTGAATTAGCCTTTTGCTAGCTGTTAAAGGGTGTTCAGTACTAATGGTAATGGTTGTAGTTCAATCAAATTTTGGTCTTCCGTGGGGGCCAAGCAAGGAACTGCAAGATGTTTATCTCCTTAATGAAGATTAATTAATTAATTAATACTACTAGCTTAGGGGCTAGTCAATAAATTCTTTGAATTGACTTTCATAGTCACATCCTAAACACGTATTGCGGTATTGGCATCATGTTTCCTTGGAAAATTCCAGCCTATTAAAAGTATGGCAAGTCAATAACCTAATATTATGACCACCTCAACCTTCCATTCTTTACTCCTTAACCTAATCGTTAGATAATTTTTCTAATTAAGTGGTGTCAAAACTTGAATCGATAATTTTTGTGTAATTTGTCATTTCGATAATTTTCATAAATAGGTGATGCGGAAACTTGGATATATATATATATATATATATATATATATATATATATATATTTTTTTTGTATCATAAGAGAATCTTTGTACTTTTTTTTTAATAATTGTTCAATCTCTTCTATCACTATTTAGTAATTGATTAATATATACGAAAACCGTCGAAGCTCGTTGTATCATTAAAAGCCGCGGACATATCATATCCACGACAATTGACTAGAAAGTAAGACGTCAAATATGTAGCTTCTAATTGATATGTAAAGCATAGTTAAATAGGTTGATAAGAGTATACTAAGAGTTTGTTTGAAACAAATTTTCTTAATTGAAAAATGAGAAAAACTAGGAATTCCATATAATATGTAGTTGAGAATGATTTTAAAGAGAAAATTGTGCCAAGAGAGCCTTTAGTTTAAAATTGTACAGAGTTGAAGATGTACAATAAGTTTGAACTCAACCGAAGTTAAAAAAAGGTTAGGAAAAATTGTAGCCACGATACCTAACATTTCGTTTATTAACAGATTTGATCCAAATCTTTCATTTGTACTATCTGAGGTACCAAACCTCTAAAAAATCTTACCTGGAGTCCAAATGGATGGAAACCTTTAGTTGACCTAGAGTTAACATTTTGACCAAATTTTGATTAATTATAAAAGGTTAAAATGGTGAAATTATATTTTCTATAATAAAAAATTAAAATAGAAACCTAAAACACAAATATACTTCATCTTCTCCGCATACCCTACACACACCCACCCCCAAAAATCAAAACCAGGAACCGAAACTGCCACTGCCACTCACCCCATTGCTGTCGTTGCTACCGTCGATTCCCATAGCTAATCGACCTACACTTCAACATTATTTGCCTCTTTTTGAATGCCAATTCCAAGATTTTGCAATTGTTGGGCTAGTTTTATTTCAACTGCAGAGGCAGATTTATAAACCTCTTGTTTATCTCTATCGCTATTCCAACTATTCAAATTGATTACCTAATAATTTCCTCCATTGATTCCTTCGTTATTCACTCAATTTTGCGTTGAAAGGAAAAACCTGTAATATTATTCCAACTATTCAAGAAGTTGGAGCTGTGAAATCTATACTTGAATTTGATTTAGAGCCACCATGGCTTATACATGACATTTGAGGCTACAGTAAACATTGTGATTTGTTGATTTGTTGTTCAAATTCTTGCAATTGGTGGAGTTGTGCGGTGGCAGTGGTTGTGGGTTTTAGTTTGGGTAGGCGGGCAATGATATGAATTGTTTGCAGTGACTTTGGTGGTGGCCGTGATTGTGGTGGTTTGAAAATGGTTGACGACTCATCAATTGATTTGGGAGTCGGGGATGGCGACGTGGTTGGGTGGGTGGAAGTTGGTTTGGCTTATATGAAGTGAGGTGGGGTGGGGGTCAAAATAGTCTAGTAGGAAAGAAGAAGAAAAGTTTTTCAAATTCTATTCTTTTTATTTTTGGTTTTTCAATTTAATTATTTTAGTTCTTTAATATGAAAATCTAAAGTTGTCTTTTTACACTTTAAAATGTAATTAATCTCCGATAACACAAATGAAAGGTTCATGTTAAGTCTGTTAATAAACAAAAAATTTGGTAATTCGTGGCTGCAATTTTTCGAAAATGTTATCATGGTGTATATATGATAGATTTGCTAAGCTTGACAAACATGTTTGTCAACGTTAACACGATTTAAAGTTTGCCTAACATGCTATAAAATGCACGCAGTAGTTTGGAAATTAATTTTAATCACATATTTATAACTACTATTTATTATTATCCATACATTTCATGGAACTTAATGCTACTTCTCTTTACTAATTATAAATTTCTTAAACGAAGGCTCAACTTATTTCTACAACTCATAAAATCTAGTAAAAATAGAATAAAATTGAAAAATGCTATTAGAGTGTGTTTGATTGGAATGAAAAATATCACATAAAAAAAGAAAATATTTTCCTTGTTTTGAGGAAAACAAAAACTTATTCCCCCAAAGAAAATATTTTCCTTAAAAACAAGGAAAATTAGGTATATTTTCAAAAGTTGAAAAATATTTTCAATGGAAAAAAATAACAATCAAACATCAAAAGTATGAATTTGAATGAAAAACTAATATTTTTCATGAAAAATAAATACAATAAAAAACTCTAAATTCTAGAGCCATCTGTAATTGGACAGAAAAGTATTCTTTTTTATTAATTATGATACAACAACAAATTACACAGCTATTTATAACAACTTTACTGGCCTCAATTAGGAATTTACAATCACCTAAAAATCAATTATAACGGCTAATTAACTATACAATACATTGAATCCTCTAAATTTAATATTATTGGTACCCACCATTGAGTTAATGAAGATGTATACGAAAGATCCTTCTAGAAAAAAAACTTTATTAGCCAGACAGTGTGAATTTCTTAAGATCAACTGAGAAGAGAAGTTGGACACAGAACTATAAGAGATTAGATTAGGGATCTGCTGATATTGACTGCAAGAAGTGCAAGAAACATTATTACTCGAGGACAAGAACTGCATAGATTAGCATCTACAAAATGCCCAAGCCGGAAAATAAAAGGAGAATGAAATTTTTGGTTTTAAATATTTGTTTATTATGGAAAGCAATTGTTAAATAATTTTAATCAATTTTTTTACCACTGACATCTAACAAATCTCAGACGCAATACTATAGCCATAAGTGTATTGTGCATTGCCAAGTTCGTCATCCAAGAATAGTCAAATATGATGTGTACGTGTAGTTCTAACATTCAACTTTCATTATTTCTTTCTTATAAAATGATGAAGTCAAAAAGTTGCAA